GTCCTGGGATCGAGCCCCGCATCGGGCTCCCTGCTCCGCGGGAAGCCTGCTTCTCCCTCTCCCACTCCCCCTGCTTGTGTTCCCCCTCCAGGGAGGATTGCTGAGACCCTTTTAAGAATTTTGCGAAGTAAAAAACTACTTTCATCATAATACTGATATATCAATAATACAATTCAGTATAATACTGAAATAATGTTATTTGCCTTTTCGCCCACTGAATGGACATTTGCAGTGATGGTACAAAAGCAATGGGGAGTAAAATTGCCAGGGCTTTCACATGAATAAAGGCAATGTATCACATTGTACTAGTAGTCATTGTGTTCTTCATGACCAGACACTGGCAGAAGAAAGAAATAGCCAGTGTCATTCAAGAACATCTTTGATGGAGCAGTAAAAATTATTAATCGTATTAAATCTTGATTTTCGAATATACATCTTTATAATTGCCTGAGAGGCAAAATGGGAGGTATATAAAGCAATTCTGCTGTAAGCTAAAATGTGAAGTTTGTGTTGAGGAGTACTTGTATGATAGTTTAAGTTGAGAACTGAACTGGCCACTTTTTTTTTTTTTTTTAAAGATTTTATTTATTTGACAGAGAGAGAGATAGTGAGAGCAGGAACACAAGCAGGGGGAGTGGGAGAGGGAGAAGCAGGCTTCCCGTGGAGCAGGGAGCCCGATGCGGGGCTCGATAACAGGACCCTGGGATCATGACCTGAGCCGAAGGCAGACGCCTAATGACTGAGCCACCCAGGCGCCCTAACTGGCCACTTTTTAATGGGACACCATTCTTATGCGAAAGAATGACTGACAGACAAACTATTATCATTCAGACTTGGGTATTTGGCAGCCATTTTTTTTTTAAGGTGAAATGAGCCTTTTACTTCAAGGAAAATAATTGACAGTATCTTTTGTCAATGATAAAATTTGGGCTTTCAAGTGAAAACTAGAAATTTGGAAAACTTGTGTATACCATTCCAATACTTAGACTTTTCTGGTAAAATTTGATGACAGAACTAACCAATGAGATTTTTAAAAATATTAAATATTAAATGTGTTAACATTTTGAAGGTCTGCATAATTCAGTGAACCACTATTTTCCAAATGACCAATGCAGGGTAAAAGATCCATTTAGCATGAAAGATAGATGCATGGGTTTTAATAGAACAAATACAAAAAGCTCACTGATATGGTCACAGATTTCACATTACAACTACTCTTTAAGAAACTACCCCTTGTCGAATTTTGATGTAGTATCAAAGAAGAGTATCCACAATTATCTGAGAAAGTTATTACATTTCTCCTCCCCTTTCCAAGTATATGTCTTTATGAGGCCAAATTTTCTTCAAGTACTCTAAGTGAAACAAGAGATTGCAATAGATTGTACAAACAGATTTGAGAATCTAGATGCCTTTTTTTTTTGAGAATCTAGATGTCTTCTATCAAGCTAGATATTAAAAATTTAAAACAATGCCATTCTTAATAATTTTTTAGAGTATATAGTTATTTGTCATAAAAATGTTATATTTATGTTAATATGTAATTACTAGTAACATCATTTTTAAATGAATAAATATTTTTTTCAGTTTTGATTTCTAAAATGGTAATTATCAATAGATGTAACATAAACAAAAGCTACTTTGGGTTCTCAATAATTTTTAAGGCTATAAAGGGAAGCTGAGGTCATAAACTTTGAGAACTGCTGACTTAGAGTATGTCTGGGATGAGGTTAGCTCTCAAAGTTGGGCCAGGAGCCTCAGGATCACAGTTATCAGGAAATGAGGCATTATAGTTGAGATTAGCTGTTGGCCCAGTTTATTTTTATTTTTATTATTTTTTTAAGATTTTATTTATTTGACAGAGAGAGCACAAGCAGAGGGAGAGAGGGGGAGAAGCAGGCTCCCTGCTGAGCAAGGAGCCCGATGTGGGACTTGATCCCGGGACTCCGGGATTATGACCCGGGCTGAAGGCAGCTGCTTAACCGACTGAGCCACCCAGGCGTCCCTGCTGTTGGCCCAGTTTAAAGATTTAATATATTTTATTTATTTGAGAGAGAGAGAGAGAGAGAGTGCATGTGTGGGCATAAGTGGGGGAGCAGCAGAGGGAGAGGGACAAGCAGACTCCATGCTGAGCGTGGAGCCCAGCTCCCAGATTTGATCTCATGATCCTGAGATCATGACCCAAGTCAAAATCAAGACTCAGACGTTCAACCCACTGAACCACCCCAGGCACCCTGCTGTTGGCCCAGTTTATGCTGTACTTGTTTATACTGTTTCAAAACTGCCTGAGTTCCTTCATGCATGAGTTCCTGCCATATAGACCACCTATATATATGGAGGCTGAGAGTGTTAGGATTGGCAGTGAGGAACTAGAACTAAAGCCTGTTGCATTTGAAATAAATAAGCAATAAGGTTTGCAGAGCCTTCTTATTTTTTTTTTTTTATAGCTAATAAGCCAGATTTATTTTTTTTTTTAAGCCAGATTTATTTTTACATAGCCATCAAACAAAACCCTTGGGTTTTGATTCCTTTGTTATTAATAAACCATGACATGTCAC